AGCCGCGCCACCGGACGAGATAACTCGTCCGACGTCCGTTCACGTCGCGGTGGTTCAACATATGCTCAACTAGATAGCGCTGGCCACCGCGAGAGTCCTCTAATGGAGGTGGAGGAGGAGGGAAAACGCTCCCCAAACTATCGTGGGGAAGCGTGTGTTCCCGAAAGCTTCTTTGATCGCGTAACGCAAGGGTTACGCGGTGATCTCGAACATGAGCGGGACGGACGTCTCCAACTGGCGGACACTGTCTCGAAGCATCGAGCCGAGTTTGCCTTTGCTCAGCTTGAGAACGCGAGAGCTCTGACATCTCTTCGTGACGAGCTAAGGGTAGCTCGTGGGATTGTTGATCGGTCTCGGGATGAGATAACTGCTCTTCAGACCCTTGTTGATGCCCACCATCGGGAGCACAAGGCTCTCTGCGAGATGCTTGAGCGCGAGGGCGTTCTTCATCGGAAGAAGCAGCGTACTGATGGTACGGCTTAAGCCGACCAACGTAAAACGTGGGATGCGTTCGCATCTTACGTGGCAACTCGATCGTGTATGCATTGCCTAGGCGGTGCAATACACGAAATGGGCCGATGTACTTGGGTAGTAGTTTACTGCTACCCAAGTTAGTCACTACATGCTTTGGTAGATTAACCGTAGACAGTAGGACTAAGTCACCTTTATTAAATAAAAGAGTGTTTGCCCTTCCATTCTTGTCAGCGTTTTGATTTTGCTTATCCAGCGCTTCGGCGATGGAATCTTGCACAAAACGGACTACCGTTTTTCACGAGTCAGTATGAACTCATCTGATGACTCGTTAGCTTCAGTGCGCTGTGAGCGCACTACAGCAACATCAATCTTTTCTTCAGTGAGGGCTTCCGCACTCTCTGGCATCATTTTCTTCGATATCGATGTTATCGATTTCGGCATCAAACGCAATGAACTATTCGTCAGAGCGTGATGAGCGTAAACCAAATCGGTTTTTGCTCGCGCGAGTCCCTCCCCCCCTTAAACCAGAGTTACACTCTAGTAAGGTGGGTACACGCGGATGGCACAAGCCATTCACGTAAAACGGTGTATGTGTCGTGGACGCATGCACCGAGTTGTTAATGGCAAACTCTGCTGGTCCACTAAAATGGTGATGACCTAAACAGCTTCGTCATGTACAATACTTCGTTTTCCGGTAGCTAATTTTTAATGTACATTTGCACCTGCTGCTAAGCTTGACACATTATTCGAATGCTTCTGTCTTACACACCTTTATCTTGACTCAATTGGTGGTGACAATAACATAACTTCACTATTAAGTTGGATGAGCCAATTAACTTTTACACGCGTTCTGCTATCTCTTGCCCGCTCCCCTCTAGCCTACGTTCAGCTCGTCTTCCGGCACAAGCGGGAATAACATTATTGTATTTCTTTTATCGCATTAGTTACCAAATTATAAGAGCTACGACTGGGTGATTTTTTCGTATGCTTGGACGTATTTTAAGTGTCACGACCGTTGTATTGATTTCCGTGAATACAGCGTCAGCCTGTAGTCGAATTTTTGCTTCTAAATTATTTTAATCTAATTTACCAATGTAGAAAAGAAACAAATATAATATAAATGAGCTCACCACTATTGCGTTCGTCTATAGTGGCCGGGCATAGCATGTAACAAAAAGTTTGCGATACCGTTATCTTTGCTATAAAGTGCGCAGTCATTTGTCTTTATTTAGTTCGGTTGTTGTGCAAAGAATTCAATCTCGCGCATTGCTAATGCATGGTGCAAACTTTCACTTGCCCAGACTTTCCGAATCACGGAGTAAACACTGTAATCTGTGCTTTCCGTTTGATCATTTGCTCATCTTGTGTGTTCTTCAGTTGGGAGGGCTTGGGCTTATTGTTACAGCCTTTGGAGACGTCAATCTCGCTCTATGTAATGATCGAGGTTCGGTCATAGTGCGGAAATTTTCGAACATCAATCTGGTATTGTTAAATAGAGAAATGACTTGTCCAGGCTTGAAACGTCTTGATCCAAAGGTATGAACATTTGAGCCTTCTTGCAATCTCGATTTCCAGTCATTTTACTTGAACGCGGAGTCCGGTCGCACTCCGTTCGTGCGAGTACCTACGCGATCTGGTTCGAACATTATAAATCGGTCTTCGGTACCGTGGCCAACAATTTAAAATCAGGCATTAAGTATTATTTCAAGTGCTTCTGCTTTATTTGATTTTGAACGATCTTACCCGGAAGATGATGCGCGCATAGCCTTGATAAAATAAGTAGAATCTGAATCGGTTTTTCAATAAACCCGATAAAGGCCAACCTATTATCGTACCTATCTTAAACCATTAAATACTCTTCAAATTGCAACCAAGTTCAAGTTAAATTTACCCTAGTGAAAGTGTCACGATTACTGGTTCTTTGTTTTAAATAAAGTCTTGAAAAAGCATTATTGTGCTCTCCAATTGTAATATTACTGTGTCGTGAATGTCACGATCATATTGGAAATATCATGACTAGTTATAATCTCAAAAATAAAAATCTGAATACTAAGCCAAATGTCCCCTGCGGCCTTAAATCGGACACCTTTCACCAACTCTTTTGATACGAAATTGTGGGAATCGTCTTTAACATTGCCCGTTACCTCCTTTTAACAATTTTTTCCCTACAATAACCATTAGGTTGGTTTTTACATATTCACATTTTAAACTAAAAGTTGATCATTCCGTACCTTGGTAATTGTAAGATGGCACACTCTCAACCTGTCTCGACTTGGCCTCACAATCATCTTGCCGTACCTTGGTAATTGTATGATGGCACACTCTCAACCTGTCTCGACTTGGCTCTCACAATCATCTTGCATGCGGTCCATTGAAAAATGATTTGGTCCCAGATTTATACTGACAAATATTTTGCTTGGCCCCAAATCCATTACTTGAATTATCCTGAGATAGCGTCGGATCGATCGGGACAGGGCAGATCACCTGGCCGTCCGGTCAGTATGCTCTTTTGATCGTCCGGTGCCCCGTTCCAATGTGCAAACATCCTGTTTGCCCCTTTTGTCAGTATTGTGTCATATTGCCATGCATCTTGATGTTGGTACAAGATTCCAAAGACCGACATGGTCGGGATAGTTGCACTTAAAGCAACTGTATCTATTTTCCACCAATATGCTGTCACTAATTTGGTCCTTCTCTCATAGTGGTAAGACAGGATATCAATTCTTCATTTTATGAGTGACTTTGCCACAGTTTGTGCTGCTGCTGTTGTTTTTGGTTTTGCTTTTATGCGGTTATTATTGCCAAAAAAAATTAAAAAGCCACGAGTGCCACACACGGCCACTATTACCTACACCACAGCATCGTTGGTGTCAAATGGCTACTATTAGAACGGGGAATAGATCAAAAACGAAGTGATCTAAACGAAGAACATCAGCCGACATAAACACTTGTTTACTTGTACACACCAACTTTTGATCCTTAAACATCGTATTTTAAATTTCTCGCTTACAAATTGATTTTAGCGTCAAACTACAACCTATGTATAGAAGGCGGGCACTAGTAGGGCTTTTGCTTCAGAACAAACGATTTGATCGGAATATAAAGGTTTACGACAAATTGTTATTTCAAAGCTACGTCAAATGAAATTATCCGGTGGAGCAATAATACAGAGGCGAAATTTGATATCGACCAATGTGAATCATTGCATTGGATAGCTACGAAATCATTTTATAAGCTGTGTTTGGCTGAATTGAAATGCTTGCGGTCGTGGCTTAGTGGTTGAAGAAATGGTGCCTGTGAATTTAGCGGTACCCTCAGCTATACCTAATACAGTTCTACTCATACATTTGCTAAGTGTCGTTTTATTTGTACAGAAATAGGCGTTTCTCTCCACGTACGAGTGCACAAAGTATTCGGGGCTCTTAGATACTCTGTGTTCAGAATAAGTAGATTGATCTGTGTTAGTACTAGTGTTCCTTACCCCGCTACACATACACTGAACTTGATTATGGAAAGTCACGGGTACCAGGTACTGTACATCTAGAATCCCAATTTACCGTGAAATCTGGCCAGAGGAGCCCGTGCGAAACATGTAAAAGTACTGCACTAGTACCATACAGTATTGTTACAGGATATGTGCCCGATACGAACGCGTCGGAAGCAAATTAAGCGATTATAATACAAAAGCAGCTTTCTAGGAACGAAACTGATCTACCACATAGTTACATAAATACAATACTCATATCTCCTCTTGACCCGAAGCACCACCGAAAAAAGCATGCGCATGCTGAATTGAAAGCGACGTTGTTAGCACGGTCGCTCTGGCGTTTGCACCTCTCTTTTCCTAGCACGCACTAGCGACACTACTTCTGCTTTCTGTATAGGCTATACACGACAGCATAACACATCTTCGCAGGCAGTACAAGTATGGTCTGTTACGTGTTTCGAAGTTTTAATTCTGCAAAATTTTGGTATACCCTTTGCCTGATCCTTGATCACACTACTGCATTTCCTCAGAATGTGATCGCGTCGTTTCTCATGTATTACACTATAATTCGTGGCAAATGATTGTTCGAGACAGTTCTACTAGGTCTACGTGGGTGTGTTCCTATAATTCTCATCTTTAAAAGATCACTACACAGGACTTATGTTGCTGCCGGCGTCCCCTAATTCAAATTTTCTTTCAGTATTATGGCAGACTTGAGCGCAGATTAGGAACACGAAAAGCGTTGGGAAACATATTTGGTTGGGCGAATAGCATAGATCATACACATGAGGTCCAACTGATATGTAGCTATGGTCTATGTGGATCGGGAATAGAAGTAGTAAGAAGAGAATAAACAAAAATGAGTTTCAAATCAAGCTTTATTGATGTTGCGTTTCCCTTTCACTAGTCCACAAGTCCATGCCGCCGACAGATATGTTTACAAGAAAAAGTCGATTTGTGGCTCAACGCAAGGTCATGCAATATTCTTTACCCATGCACCGCGAACTCGAACGCACGTAGCTTGGACTGGCGAAGAAGGCTACGGGCGTCGCAGGTAGTAATTATGGGAGTAGCCGATCGAGAAGTATTCGGGAGATCGTGGTTTGTCCAGCGTGATTGACTCTCCAACAGATTCACCCGAAAGTCCCAGGACTCCGCCAACGATTCCGTCAGGAATCTTGTCCGAAAACTCCGGAGCTTGTCCGTAGGTGATCGTAGTTCCGACGGCGACGAGTGCGAGGCATATGACAAGTTTCATGATAATGGAGTGACTTAGCGCTGGCGTGAAGACTGGTAGACACTCAGCAAGTTGCTAAATGCTAAATGAGCTGACAAGTACTCGGACAAAACGAAGCTAGGTCAATTTATTGATTTCATGTCAGTTTCGTGAATTGCGCACTTGAACTTTATCTCACACGTATGTTTTTTTTGGCACCGTATTAGTCATTCGAAACGGCTGGGACAGGCTAATGCGACTGTCGGGCGTCTGATGGTTCGGCGCGAGACGCGACCTTTTAGCGTTGAAACCTCAAAACAGATATCGATGTATCAAAAGTCAACTCTGGCAGCGAGCGTTTAATCTGATTGTATGAAATGACTGCTACATCATCCGCGTCCTTTGGTACATTTTAAAGAAAATTGTTCAGCTTTGAGAAGGCGTATCAATCGCTAGTGCAGAAATCTTACGAGATAGAACTATGGAGTACGTCCAACCGCTACGGCAGCACATGAGTGCCGTCTAGCACAACGGCCATACAGCTGACATTCGTTCTGATGTGTTGCTGCGTCATATTGACGCGGATCCCACACCTCTCTGTACATTGAAAAGCCACTACCAATGGATATTTTGCACATGGACTAGTGGCGTTGGACGCTCAAAGCGGGCTCTTCGACCTGTAACGAGCATGTGCAGCCCTCGTTTACATTATAACGGCATCGCTTATGAGATGTTGAGGCCATCACTATGGTCGTGGTTATCCCAATCCATGAGACGTAATGCGAGCAAATGTAGACACGATCAGTAAGGATTGGTTTGACTGCGAATTTCACAGGCTGCAGCACCTCGGCGTACGCCATCCATCGCAATCATTGCTGGAGCGGGTGGCTGATTCGCGCAAACGGATCAGCAGCGCGTTATCTGTCCTATTGGGGTGGTTTACGAATGCACGTCTCCTGGCATCCCATCAAACATCGTATGGTGGACTTCCGTGTTTCATCCACTTTCTTGCTTACGCCGACCACATCCTGTGCTATTTAACTGTTTCTTAAGGTGCCTTCGCGAAGTCACGAAAAGTTGACTTCACCCGCGCCCACCAAATTTCTAGCGGCTATGTCATGCGCGGTGTCTTGTCGGAACTTTTGGATGACGCCAAGATAGGGTCAACGATCAGGCAAGCCTGGCTCTATCGTTTAACAATGCCGAAGCACCACCACAGTTCCGCAGGTCAAATGTCCTACCGATGAATCAGCAAGGACATCCCAGACAACAACATGCGCATCATTCATGGCCCCGTCCGCGGTGTCAGCCACGTTGTGGACAATCTTCATGATGAAGCGTAGGCGGTGAGTAGGCATCCAAACGGCTTGTCAGCTGTGCAGAGCTAAGTACTCGGCTCCATTAGCTCCAAGCTCCACACTTGGTCGCCCGTTGCTTCATTTGCCTTTGTGAATTGCCGTGTCGACATCGCCGAGCTGGCACACCCAGCCACTCATTTTCTACTTCTAGTCAGTGCTGGCAGGCAAGTATGTCGAAGGCGCATCACTGCGGACAAATTGCACCAAAACAATGAGTACCTATGCGCGGTTTTTTGGGGAGCGCGTATGCATCTATTTGCAATACCCGCTTCTGTGGCCGATGGCAAGGTAGTTCGTATCGTATCTGTCAGTCATTAACCGTACAACTAGTCACAAGCGGTTGTGTGCCAGGGTAAGAATGTTTCTGCAAAAGTGCAGTCCCGAACTAGTCTTTGTGTATCTTGTCCTCGGCCGCGATACTGCGGAGAGCGTGGTGACGGCAAAATCCATATCCTTGCACATCTCCAACGGATCGTATCACGTTTGAATCAAATTAGCGTAGGTATCACGTCAATACTGGCAGACGTTTTCGGGCAACGGTACAGGTCAGATGAATTGTTGCCTTAATATACGGAAATGATTCGGTCATTGACAACGTTCTGTTCATAACGCTGACGACTCAAAAAGAAAGTCAAAGTAATCCGAAAGAGATACTATGTTTAGTGGGTGTCATAGACTAACGTGCGGATGATGACCCAAAATCCTTGGCGCATATCGGGCACAGGGTTCAGTTTGACACCGGTACCCTCATCCGTATCGTTGTCGGAAGTCGAATAACAAAACCGAATGCAGGCCGAAATGCTCCATTGTCATCTATGTAGGCAAGAATGAAGAAGAATCGGAGAACCGCATGGACCGGGTCAAACACATAGTTGGACTACGTTTTGCTATGGCGCATCGTTTTTGACTCATGAGTGGTAGACAAAGTCAGGGGGGATAGACATCAGCAATGGTTTCGAAAGCAGGCTACCTTGATGTCGCGTTTTCGCTTCACGAGCCTACGACCCAACGCCCCTGGATTTATAAAGCAAGTTGGGATAAGTTCGATTCTCGATATCAGCTCCGTTCGACGTGATCTTGGTCACAAAGATCGAGGCTTAACAATCTCGTCCGATGGACTACTAGTGATTCGCGTGGCGGTTGATGTATCTATCATTTCCGTACCCATGGTCGTCGTATCACACGGTCGGCGTATCCATGGTCGGCGTGTTCATGTTCTTTGGAGCGATTTTCTGCATTGGTGAGGATACCAGAAAGCACTTTGACTCCGCCAAGCAGTTTGCTCAGACGTCCCTTCGGAGCTTGTCTATAGATGGCTGTAGCTGTTACAGCAGCGAGCAGGAGGCAAATGGGAAATTTTATCTTCGAGTGAAAATGGCAAAGAAGCTAAAAAGATTTTGGCAAGTTGTAGAATGATACAGCAAGTGGGGCGTGGCAGAAAACCAGACCACGATCAATCGGATCGATGCAAAAGCAGATTTATGATCATTCTGGTGATGAACTTTATTGCACACGGCTTTGGTATCGAAAGACGTGCTTTTGACGCCGAACACACCGTTCGAAACGACCGGGGATAGGTACATGCGATTTTTGGATGTCAGATAGTTCGGTGCGAGATGCGACGCTTCAGTATTACAGTCTAGAAGACAGGTGATAATGTAAGGGGCGAGGCTATTTCGTACTTTGAATTTTGCTGTTCTGTACTGCAAACCCCGTCAAACGTTTTTACGAACAGCTAGTTAGCTTGATAGCTAAATTTTGTCTGTATTATGCTAGATATAGAAGGTCAGAGGTGTGGAGATTAAAGAGCTTCCATCGACTGGATTTTGTGCTGAGCCTTACGGACGGGTCGAACGTCTCCAGCTGGAAGATAACCAATGTCCAAATCCATATCTGGGGCACCAAGTGTTGTTGACTCGCCGAGCTGAACCTGGTGTGACGACATCTGCACCCGACAGTCCACCAAAGCTAGTGCTTCAGCACAAGCAAGCTGCTACTTCCTGGATGCAATTTGATTGATCATGCAGCGATTCCGCTCGATTTACTGGCGAACACCATCGTACAACTAAACTCGGTGTTGGCTCGCGCTTATCCTGACCATCACCCTCGGCTTCGTGCTCGTCAACGCCGACTATACAACATATGGCCTCAGCCGTGAGTATCATCTTCATGATAACACTATATCAAGAAACGTGACATACGTTGCTTGTCTGCCCTTCACCCCGCAGGAACGAGCCGTTTACTACCGCGAGTGCGACGCGCAGACGCACAACACTCTCTGGAACTTCCTCGGCATCACGTTCGTCGAGATCCTCTACGTCTTTGGCAGCAATCTCCTCTTCACCATTGTCTTCTTCCCTCTCCTCGGCATCTGGTCCTTCAACACGGCTGTGCTCTACTGGCTCAACATCTCCCTATCCGTGCTCATGCAGGCGCTCCTGGGCTAGCTGCTCGTCTAGTTGCTGTTCAGTGGCAAAGTTGTCGCCGTTTTGAGTGTCCTCAATAATGTCATGTCCTGCTGTTTGCTGGGTTTAACCCGCCTGCTGCTGCCATCCCGGCCGTTCCCGATGGCTCTATGACGTCACTCCACAGCACTATTCCCTCTCGATCCTCGTCTCGCTTGTGTTACCTCTGACCTTCTATGTACAGCATAATACCGACAAAATTAAGCTATTAAGCTAACTAGCTGCTCGAAAAAACGTTTGACGGCGTTTGCAGTACAGAACCGCAAAATTCAAAGTACGGAATAGCCTCGCCTATAATGTGAGGGAAACTATAAATACACCGAGGCGCAGTGTTCAAAACACCGAGGCTCGATTTAGGCTATCCATTTGTCCTAACATTTCTATGTGGCAAATGCATGCAAAGACGGTCCACAACATTGCTCTTATTCACTGATGGAACGACACCGCATGCGTACGTAAATTCTTAGTTGATACGCGTGCTCTCTGTTGCCCGAAGTCTGCTGTGCACATAGATCACTGGAATGCTCGACTCACAAGGAAGTGGTGTTGATTACGCACGTTATCCCCAAGGTGATAAGACTACAACAATGAGGCGACATCACGATCCATTTCGGTCGTCATGCGTATGGCCATGTATTCGAGCCCATATGTGAGAGCTCAAATTAGACAAAGCTGTCTGCATTCGTGTGGATTTAAATAAGAGTATGGGTATGCAAGCCGTTGATTAAGTGCTGCCATGTGTTCCAGCCATTTCAAGCTACTGTCTGATGTCCGCAGCCGAGTTCACGACTAGGAGCTGGCTGGAGCATTCATGGTATGAACTTCGTGGGATCCCTGCGATCCGTATGAACTTTTTGTTGAACCAAGAACTCTAGATTGAGGTCATACATTTGCGTATTCGCGGTGGTGTGGTGCCACGATAGTGACAAGACTGATGTGTCAACAAATGAGTGGCAAGGTGAACATTTTCTGTGAACACTTCCAGCATTTCACTTTCATGACAGTGAGTGTCAAGTGTTGGCATTTGTGTGGGGCCGTGCTTTCTTGTGGCTAGCTTGCTTTTGCAAGTCTATTATGTATTGAGCGACGTGAATAATTTAGAAGCCCGCAGAGTCCAACTGTCCGAGAACAGTACTCTGCATTGCTCAAGATCAGCCATGGGCATCCAAGTGTATGCTGGGAAGCGGGTCGCATGTCTGGATTTGTCTATGCTTGCGGT